ACCCCTCTACTTGGGCACTGGCTGACCCTGCTGGCCCTGGAGCAGGGATGTGGCACTGCTGGGTGCCTCCTTGCCCTTTGTCCCCACCAAGCATCCTCCTGCCAAACCCCTGCTGCTGGAGGGGATGGGACCCTCCGCTCTCCACCCAAGTGCCCCGGGGCAGCCGTGGTGCCTTCTCTTTCTGGCTGTAGCCCTGGCACCTGCTGGAGCAGCAGGAGGGCAGGGTGGTTGGAGCTTGGCCTCTCTGTCTCCCAGAAAGACTGTGGACCACTAGGGCTGCAAACCTGCTGCAGAGGATGGAGCAGTGGGACGGGGGCTGGTCCCTGACCCCACTGCCAGGGTGCCTTGGCTGGGAGCTGCTGGCTGGACAATGTGCCCCCAGAGGGGCAGTTCCTGGCTTGCTTCACTGCCCTGGTCTGGAGGCAGGATGGGTACCCTGGGCACGCTGTGGTCTGTACCCTCAGTTCTGGGTGACTGGCCATCCCCCTGCATGCCCTGGGTAGGGTGGCATGGTGTCCCGGAAGAACCCAGCCTGCTCTCGAGGCCAGCCGATTCCCCTCATCCCTGTGCTAATCCGCCTCACCCACTGCCTTGGCGACACCAGCAGCAGCATCCCCACCAAGGGGGATGGGGAGATGCCCAGCCTGGCTCATATCTGTTGCATGCTGGTGGAGGGTGGGAGCAAGGAGCAGGGTCAGCAGGAGCCTGGTATGAGGGTCACAAGCAGGGCTGAGTGGGGTGGCAGGACTGGAGCAGGGGGCCTGGGTAGGGTGGAAGGGTATAGAGGCATGGCAAAGGGGCAGGCAGGGGGAACACAGCTCCCCATTTTGCCCTCCACATGCATTCTTCATCTTTCTGCTGCATGCTCACCTTCACCCCAGTGTGGTCTGGCTGGCTGTGGTGCAGGGGTCCTGGAAGCCCTCACTGCCTGGTGCGGGGCCGCAGGGGCCATACCCTCCCTGCCGGTCTCTGCCCACACCGGTCCCGTGCCTTGCCGTGACCCTGCCTTGTGCTGCTGCCTGCACAGGCCTCAGCTGAGTAAACCATGTTGCCAAACGCCTGTGCCATGTCCTTTTTGCCGGGAGCAGGGACGGGGCAGGGGGCTTGTCCAGGCAGGGCTGCAGACACAGAGGGAGGACAGCCATTTTATTCATGGCACAAGGATCCACCCCTTCCCAGGTGAGAACAACAGGCCCCTGGGGGCTGGCAGGGATGCAGGCTGGCCAGGGGTTGCCCCCTTTACCCACTCTGCCCAGCACAGCCATGTCCCAGTGTCCCCACCATGTCCCCCGTTCCTGGGGTCCCTGACTCCTGTGCCTTCCCAGTGTGGGAAGGGGAAGATGGGGGACCTCTTACAACCAGCCATTGGTGCTGAAGATGTTCCTCAGCTCTTCAACCTGGGCAGGGCTCAGTGGGCCCAGGGGTGCACGGCAGGGACCACCGTAGTAGCCAAACCACTCCATGGCCTTCTTCAGCCCCGGAACTCCAAACCGGCGGGTGACCTGTGGGAGAGAGGATGCAGGAGCTTGCTCCCATGGGCCAGCATGCTTTGTGGGCTCTGCTTTGCAGCCCCTGTTCCTTGCTCACCATCGCTCCTGCCCTCCACATGTGGGGCTGCAAGGCTGGGCAGGGTGTGAGGTGACTGCAGCACCCCATGAACTGCCCACCGTGGGATGGGGGTGCAGAGCACAGCTCCACCAGGGAGCAGCCCTGTGGCACGGTGGGCTCATTGCAACAGGGACAGGCCACTCCACAGTGGGCTGGGGGGCCTGGGAAGGAGCACTTCTTCCCCCTATTGTTGCCTATAAATAACCAGCAAGGCTCTCAGAGTGGATCAGGCAGGTCCCCACTGCCAGTGGACATGCAGTTCCTTAACATGGCAGGGCTGGCATTTCCCACCCTGTCACCTCCAGCCTGGCTCAGCTCACTGGCCAGGTGCTGTGCCATCCTGTCACCCTGAACCACTGCTCCACCCCCTGCAGCCCCAGGGACTTCCATCTTTTGCCTCCCCCCTGGCTCTGCCATGGCCTGGTACCCCTTCCCCTCAGCATCCCAGGGATGCTGTCTGCTCACTGCTGTGTTGGGCTCGATGAGACGGTGCTGCAGGTCACGGGCCTCCTGCCACTGGCCCTTACGGCACAGGCGGTCCAGCTGGCACAGGGGGGCCCCCAGGATGTTGGCGAGGGCACAGACACCCCCAGATGCACCTAAAGACACCAGGGCACACTGGCAGCCAGCGTGGCATGCTGTGCCCAGCCAGCACCTCCCAGGCATCACCACCCCTTACCTGCCTCCCCCTGCCCGCATGCCAGTCCCTGCCAGTGTCCCCAGGGCACCACCCTGCCAAGAAGGGGCAGCTGCACCTACCCACAGCATAGCTTGCCAGCAGGAAGCCAGCCGATCCTGCCAGCACCTGGAAATCGTCCTGCCTTGTCTTGTGGACCATCAGCCCCATGCGGGTGATCTGGGGAGAGACATGCTGTGCCCTGGAGCAGGCATCACCCGTCCCCCTTGCCACATGGTTCCTGCCAGCAGCGCTGGGGTCTGGGGAAGGGCTGCAAGTCCCAGCTCCCTCTTTCCAGCTTGGGGCCAGGTTTGGTGGCAGCCAGCCCTAGGAAAGCCCTGCTCCACTCACATCCCCACCGCTGTCCTTGATCCCAATGATGTTGGGGTGCTGAGCCAGGGTGATGACAGCCTCCATGGGCAGGTCCAGGCCGGTGTTGGCAGGGACACTGTAGAGCACCACGGGGATGGGGGATGCATCACCGACCTGCAGGCAGCCAGACAGAGCTCAGCAGCTTGGGTGGGTTGGAGACACGTTGAACATGCTCCCCATGCTGCTGCCCCAGCTGAGTCTGCCACAGGCCCTGGACATGGCTCACCTCCGTGTAGTGATGGACCAGGGCAGCACTGGTCATGGCCCCCCGGTAATAGCAGGGTGTCACAACCAGCGCCACATCAGCCCCCGCCTCTGCCATGCTGACAGTCATCTCAATGGTGGCCTGGGTGGCTGGGGACGAGGCAGAGGGGTGAGGGGTGCTCCGGAGGGGACACATGCCCCCGGCACTGCCCACGCAGGCACTCACATTCACAGCCCGAGCCGGCCAGCAGCAGGCGGTCCCTGGGCAGAGCCCGGCGCACTCTGCTCACCACCTCCAGCCGCTCACGGGGCGCCAGGTAGGGATACTCCCCATTGGAGCCCAGCACCACCAGCCCTGGAACACAAGTGTGGGGAGAGCAGGGCTTGGGCACATGGGGAGAGTGCCAGGACTTCCAGGTAACCCCATCACTCTCACTCCCTTCTTTGCTGCTGGCACCCAATCAGGGCTCTCTCTAGCCCACAGTATGCCCTCTTCTGCCTACATCCCTGCAGCCCCATATCCTCTGGTCAGAAGAGAGGAGACCCCAGGGCACAACCCTGCAACCCCCAGCCTCTTCTGCAGCCCCTGTCCTACCATCCATCCACCCTGGACAATCAACAGATACATATCCCATGAATGTGTGTGAGTGTGCACAGGAGTGCAAGCACACCCATAGGGCACAGGGTAGATGCAAGCCTGCAGCTACAGCTACATGTGGAGGATGTGTGCAAGCCTGCACATGTGTGGAGTGTGCATGCAAGCACACGCTGGCATGCGATGGGGGTATGCAAGGACACACACATGTGCCCGGGCACGTGCCATGCAAAGGGCCCCAGATGGGTCACCTGAGGGGTTGCCAGCTCTGGAGCAAAGTCCAGCTAGAGGCTGAGCACCCTTGGGAAGCTGGCAGGCTGCCTGCACACTGCCACACAGCCTCTATGGTGGGCAGGGATCCGACAGGAACCTGCACAGAGAGGGAGCGCAGGTAACGCTTACCTCGGAAGGGGATGCTGGCATAGCGGGACAGGTTCCCCTCCAGCTGGGCATAGTCCACCTCCTGTATGGGTGAGAAGGGGGTGGCGAGGGGTGGGAAGATGCCCCTGAGGTCGAGTGAGGGCTCTGGTCCCTGGGGAGTGCTGAGCCCCCGGCACTGCCTGGGGGCTGTCCAGTGCAGGGCTGCCAGGGTGGGCCAGAGAGACGAGGCGAGGCGCGTGCTGAATGCCATGATGGTCTGGGTGCTGCCGCTGGCTGTGCTGCCTGCCCCGCCGAGGGCTGTTAATGTTTGACAGGGCACGTGAGAGACCCGCAACCCTGCTGGGCAGATGACATGGGGGGTGGTACCAGGTGAGCTCAGGATGCTCTTCCCCACGCCAGAAGCTGGCTGCAGGACTTCAGCAACCATCCAGGTGAGCCCCAGCCACTCCAGCTGTGCTTTCCTTTCTGCTTGCCAGCCCTGGCAGCCGTCCCTCTGCCTCCTACAGGGCTGGACTGCAGGACCAGGGAGGGACCAGGCATTGCAGGCAATCCAGGGGCTGTGGGCAGGGATCACCTGCCTCAGCTGTTAGTGTAGGGTCTCCTGTAAACAGGTGAGTGGGAGCATTTCTGGGTTGGGAGTAGTGAGCACTGCACTGAGCAGAAAGGTCCCAGCCTGCAAAGGGGTCACGTGTCCCCAGGAATGGCTCCAGTGGGGAAGGCAGGAGGACAAGCAGCCATCCAGCCCCACAGAGTGGCTGCCCAGCAGGGGTACAATTGCTGCTCTCTGGCACGGTCCCAGCTGCCAGCACCACGTGGACTTGAGTTGAGCTGCCCTCCATGAATTTTTCCTCCCTGAGCTTGCCCAGGTGGTACTTCAAAGGACTGTGAGCAACCAGGGTGTCCTGCAGCAAGGATTCCTGCCCTTGAACCACTTGTGTCCTGGCGTCATGGTGTCACCAACACTTGAGTTCCTGTGATAGGAGGCAGGGCTCATCATGCTGCTAGGTAACCTGCTCCTGGGATAACCCAGCTTCCCCAGGCCCATCAACACCAGCACAGGCTGCCCAGCCCCACAGCACTCTGGAGTTGAATGCTGCTCTTTGACGACTTTTATTGACACAGACAAGTCTCATCCCTGGAGCCAAGCCTGATCCTTGGTCCTTTCCTGGTGCCATCATGCAGGGACCTCCATCTCCCCCTGTGGCTGCTCCTTGGTCTCCAGTGCCTGGCGCGTGTCCAGCTGCCACTGCTGCACCAGGTCTGTCGGGGTCTTGCCAGCCTGCAAGAGCAAGCAGAGAGAAGCTGGGGCTGGGGTGGTGCAACACGGTGGGTCAGCAAATGGCCTTGGTGCTAGCCCCCCATGCTCACCTCATTCTTGGCCATCATGTCAGCCCCATGCAGGATCAGCTTTTTGATGATCTTGTAGCGACTGAGCCGTGTAGCATCATGCAGCGCAGTGTCCCCTTCCTGTAAGAGACACAGCCTCACTGGGGATTGTGGTCCAGGGACAAGGATGCCCTGACTGTCTCCAGCTCCCAGCACACCCACCCCCGCACGAGGACAAGGAGAACAGTGCTTGTCCCAGCCCTGGCTGTGGCTGCCACCATCCTGGGGCAGGGATGTGTGTGCCCAGATGTGCCCCACTGTGGGTGCTAGGAGCCTTTGGAGGGGTCAACCAAGGGAGGGGGATCAGTGTTGTTCAGGGGTGCCAGCACTTACCCTGTCTGGGGCATTGATATCCACCCCACAGTGGATGAGGTGCTCCACGATGTCAAGGTGTCCGGTCCGGGTGGCAACATGGAGGGGTGTGCTGAGCAGCTTGAGAGGGGAGGTGGACATCAAGGGGGGGATCATCACCCACTCCTGCTAACTCAGCACAGGGCCAGCCCAGTCGCCCAGGGTATGCCCCTGCCCCCAACCCTGTGACCCCGAGCTCTGCCCTGCTCACCTTGTCCTTCACATTGAGGTCTGCCCCACGATCTTGCAGCAGCTTGACAGCGTCCAGGTGCCCGCCCCGGCAGGCCCAGTGCATGGCAGTGCAGTCCAGCTGGGCACACAGGAGTATGTTATAGCAGGGGACACCCCCATCCCATGTCCATCCCCCACTCCAGCTGGTCCCTGTGCCCAAGCTGAACTTGCAGCTGAACCTCTGTGACAGGGACAGCACTGCCCCATTGCCCCATAGCAGGGACCTCAATCCTACTGTAGTTCCTACTGCACCATGCCCAGAGGCTCAGACATCATGGAGCTGGGCTCAGGATGCAGCCTCACCCGGTCCCTCAAGTCAACTGTGGCCCCACTGTCCAGCAGCTTCTGCAGGATATCCATGTGTCCCTCCAGCGAGGAGCGGTGCAGGGCTGTGCGGTGGAACTGGGGAACAAGGTGCCACATTGTGCACAAGGTGCCACAAGGTGACAGATCCATCCTCCCCTGGCCCAGCTTGGTTGTACCTCCAGCCCTGTCCCAGGGGTCACAGCCCCTGCCCACAGGCATGCCGGGGCATGGTTGTGGGACATGGTGCCAGGGCACAGGCAGAGGGCAGACAGTGGTTGTCAGGGATGCTACCTCATCACACGTGTCAGCGGGGCCACCATCTGCCAGGAACTTCTCGATGACATGCATCTTGCCCTGAACGGCGGCTCGCAGGAAGGTCTCTGGCTCCACAGGACCCACCTGGCAGTGGGACAGGCTCAGGGATGGGGCATCACAGGGGTGCAGGAGAGGAGACAACGTCGGGCGTCCCTGCCCTGCTTCCCCAGGGAGGTCCCTGACTGGCAGGGTGACCTGGGAGTGGCCCGTGGTTGCTCCAGCCCCCTCCCACAGTCTGGGACCCACTGACGTACAATCTCCAGGGGTTCAGGTGGCTGGGGGGGCTCGGGGGTGGCCGCCCGCTCTGCCTGGCGCTGCCGACGCTGCTTGCGGAGTTCAATGAGTCGTTGGATGCTCCCCACATCGATGATCTCTCGCCGCAGATCCACGGAACTCTTCCGCACCCTCTCCTGGCCCTAGTGAGGACATGCAGTGGCCCGTTTGACTTCTCTGTGCCCAGCTACCTCTGGCCCCCCCGCACCCCAACCCCCTCACCTTGATGGCCTCGAGGCCCCAGTTCCTGGGGCCATGGCGTTTCTCCTCCTCCAGCTCAGGTGTGTTCATCCGCTCCACAGCCGGCGGCTCCCATGCACCATTCCCTTTGGGTCTCTGCACAGGCAGTGGGGGCTGCATGGTCCTGGCTGGGCACAGAGCAGCCCCACTGTTTCCATCCCTAGCCTGCCGGTGCATGTGGCTCTGGACACAGCTCCCAGCTCACCACTGAGCTCTACAGGCTGCCTGACAGCCCTTGGGTTTGCACTTGCCCACCCATCCTACTTGGCAAGCTGGGCACCTGCCTGCTGCTCAGCTCTGCCCCATGGGCAAGAGCTGCCAAGTTGGGAACCTGATTTCCCCGAGAGCCCTTGGCCACCTCACTGCATCCCGCAGGATGGCAAGGTCAGTGCCAGCCTCTTCACAACTGAGTCCCTAAGGATGGACACTGCGCAATGGGGTCCCTGCCACAGCCCAGACAGGTCCCCCTGTGGTACGGACCCACCTTCTCCTCTTCCTCCTCCTCTGCTCGATGAGCTCCTTGGCCCGTTCCACATCCAGCTCCATGTCTGCCCACAGCGCACAGTCCCGTGCAGGATGTATCCTTTTCTCCTTGCCACCACAGGCAGGGAGTGCCCGATCCTGGCTCCTGGTGCTGCCGGCAGCTCCACTGGCTGTGGGGCTTTATGCTGCCGGCCCCTCCGTTCCACAGCCCAAAGGCACCAACAGCTGTGGCTGCTCCACATGACTGGGGCAGCTTTGCCATGAGCTCACCCTCCTGCTTTCTGGTGGCCCTGACTCACCTTTCCAGCCCCGCTCTTAAAGAGACCCATTGCCACCCCACGGGTTGCCCAGTACTCCCGTATTTGTAATAGGGAGCTGGGGTACACAGAACTCATGGCAGCCAGTCAAGAGGGGCTCAGCAGAGCAGGGACATGATCCAGGGTCATCCCATAGGCACAATGCCTGTGCAACCCATTCTGGGCATCCAAGAAGCTTCCCATGGTTCCCTTTACCCCATCTCTGTGCAACCAGATGCTGCAGCAGCTACCAGCGTTGCCCAAGGCTTCCTGGCACCTGGGACTGGGGGGGCTACCCACTCCCACAGGAGGCAGTGGTCCTCTCAAGCCTCTCAGCCAGCAGCAGGCAGCATGGGATGCCAGAAGTCATGGCCCCTCTGTGCTGCTTTAGAGGATGACCTCAGGTGTGGAACATTCCGAGCAGCCCTGCCAAGGGTCTCTGTGGCTGTCCGGTCTCCTCTACTGCACGCGGCAGCCTGGCAGCAGGACTGGCCTCACATGGAGCTAACAGGCAGAGCTGGCAGCTATTCCCGGCAGCAGGAACATTGTTCAACCCTTCTGAGCACTCTCCCCTTGTAAGATGAGGCCAGCACTGCCCTGTGCTGGAACAGTTAATGCGCTGGGCACTATCCCCCAACACAGGACCTGGGGGAGGGACAGATGGCAGCATGTCACTGTCACCCTCCTGAGCAGTCCCCAGGGCCACCCTCAGGTGACAAAGGCACTATTTTTACCAGGACAGGCCATGAAGGTGGTCCTGGGATTTTCCCCCTCCATGGACTGTCCCACCTGGCCCCAGGGCAGACACAGGCTTAAACCTCCAGAGGGGAAGCATTGGGAAAGGGAGGTGGTCATCCCACACTGAGAAGCAGCCAGGATGACAGTGGCAGGATGTGCTGGGGAAGGGTCCAGGCAGGCAAAGGGCTGGAGCTGGCAGGACAGGATCAGGGCAGCACTAGGCAGCAGAGCTGGGGTGTCCAGGCTACCCTCAGCCACCCTATGCTTATCCTGACATGAGAGCAGATATAGGACAGGCATGGGGACCTCCTGGCACAGTGGGTGACAGCCCCCTCCAGCCTGTTCCTGAGGCCAGAGAAAGGATGAAAAGGCTTTATTGATAAATACAGACTATGTACAAAGGGGAGACATCTCCACCCAGCCCAGCATCCCACAGGTCTCCAGGCCAGGGGTAGCCAGAGCCCAGTGGGTCACAGCCTCTCCCCACCGGCACAGCCTGGCAGAGGAGCCCCAGCCCCAGAAACATTTGGTCTCGAACCTCCTGCAGAAAACACGGCGCCTGCCCGTGTTCCCAGGCAAGAGGGGCCACTGCAGTGGCAGAGCCCCATGCAAACCTTCCTGGCGGGTCCCCCTGGCAGGGGGCAGCCTCAGGGGGGAGCAGGGGCTGCTCCACCTCCAGCAGGGCTAGAACATAGCATGGGACATCCCCAGAGGTGCCACTGTCCCCCAGCCCCTTCCCCTCTCCCCTCAACCAGTGGGGGGTGGCTCAGTTCCTGGGTGGCAGGGGTTGGTTGACGATCACTTGCACAACAAAATCCTTCTGGATCTTGGTCTCCTGCAGTCGTGTGCGGTCAGTGAGCAGCTTGCCTGAGAAAAACCAGCGCTGCCAGGCCAGGTCAATGCCCTCCTGTGCCTGCAGCTGCTTCTTCAGCTGCCCGATGGTGTCGCCCATGCTGGCGCTGAGCCGCAGGTCCTTGCCGGTGGAGAGCCGTACCTTGAGGGTGAACTCCCGCCGGGTATTGGGCAGGGGCTCAGCCGGCTCCACGGCCTCCTCCTCACTCCGTTCCAGGATCAGGTTGACGGGAGGTGCCAGGCAGTAGACAGGCAGCTGGTACCGGTTGCCCAGCTCATCATAGCACTCCGTCAGGGACCCTGGGGACAGTAGGATGATATGCTGAGGGAGGTCATCCCCATGGACCACCCAAATAGGGACAGGGCCACCCCACGCAGTGTGGCAAAGCCTGCCTTGGCCCCCTTGGCTGGGCTGAGCCATGTGGATGGCAGTTGTGTGTCCCTCTCCACTCCAGCTAGGATCCTCGCGTGCCCAGATATGAGTCACTCAGCACCCACCCCACCCACACCCCCAAGGCTGACCCTCACCGTGGGGCAGGGTGATGCTGGCTCCATCGAGGATAGCCTGGGCCAGGCTGTGGTCATTTGCTTCCACGGCATAGGCAGCTGCCTTCAGGGCATCCCAGATCTCCTTGCGGCCCTCAAAGGCGGGTGCCGTGTCCCAAAACTCGTCCCGCTTGCTGCGCAGCTGCCCATCTGTCATGGGGTAATCGCTCTTCCACTTGGGACACTCCTTCTTCAGGGGCTCATTGCGGCCTGGGGAGGGGGGGGGATACTCAGCCGAGGGACAGGGCTCTCCCTTGGGCCCTGAGCCACCCATTTCCCCATATCCACATATAACTGGGGACCCCTCACACCCCAGCGAGGGTCTGAGGGATCACCCTGCCTGGTGAAGGACAGTCCCCACTGCAGCCGGGCAAACTGGGCTAGAGCTAGCCCTGCCCAAGATCTCACTGGTCCCATAGCAGTTGCTCCCGCAAGTGACACCCTTTGCCCTCAGAAAGGACAAGGGCTCTTGCCCCTATGTTAGGGGGACCAGTTGCTGCCCCATGAGGTGGCCACGGGGCCTCAGGGCCCTTTGAGGCAGAGCAGTATTTATAGCTTGGGGAATTAGCCAGGAAATAAGCTGGTCAGTCGGAATGAGAAGGGGATTACGGAGGCTGAGCTGCAGCAAAGGGGGGTCAGGACTTCACAGTCTCCTCTGCCCACCCCGGGATGACAGGGACCAGCTGCAGGCAAGACAGCAGGCACACAGTGTCCAGGGCATCAGGGGGGCAGAGGGCATGGAAGGTGGAGGGCTGCCAGCCCACAGCTGCCCCAGCAATAGGCTGAACCGAGCTGGTTCCCCACAAAACAGCCCCCAACCATGTTCCCAGAGACCCTCAGCAGCCAGCACTGCTCAGGGATCTGGGCCACTCCCATGCCAGTCCAACACCACCATGCCCTTCCTGCACCGGGCTGTGGCCCCGTGGGAACAGCCCTGTCCCATCGGCCCCACGGCTGGGCCGGATGCATGGTGCAGGAAGGAGCTGTTGTCACTCCCAGCTGAGCTGGGGACAAAGAGTGACAACAGCTCCTTCCTGTCACCCCTCTCCCTGGGGCCAGGCAGCACCCGTCTTGCATGGACAGGGCACAGGGAAAGTGAGGCTCCAGTCACGCAGGAAGGATATCTGTGCCCATACAGTGACTTGCCAGGCAAGGTGATGCCACACATGACAGCCACGGGGGACAGCCGCCACTGCCAGCTGTGGGTTGAGCCATGTTCCCCAGGCAACTGTTCTGGGGCAAGTGTGTGGTGACACAAGGAACTACATGACCTTTTTTTTTTTTGTACCAGCTCTGTCCCACCCCACCCAAGACCACCGGAGCCAGCATAGCATCTTCTTCCCGGTGAGAACCCAGCCCAGAGCTGGACACACATGTGGCATTCACTCCAGAGATCCTCAAGGGGCACAGGAGCTCAGCTACTCCAGGGCTGGGCATTGAGCATCCCTGGCAGGCAGCATCCTGCCCGCATCCCTGGAGCAGCAAGGGCAGCCAGCAGCAGCCAGTGCTGCCGATTCAGCAGTCACGGTGCTGGGCCAGAGGGATTTGCAGCACCACAGGACAGAGCAAGGTCAGAGGCGGCACCTGCCCCAGGAGGGCAGTGTAGAAGTGGCCACAGCCAGCCTGAAGGACATGTCCAGGACCATGTCCCCACTCTGCTGTGGCCACCTGGCTGGGGCACGTGTCCTTACAGCCAGGATTCCCAACCAGTACCATTCCCTCAGCTCTGCTCACAGCAAAGGAAAGAGACTGGCCCAGGGGAGGCAGCAGGATCAGAACCATGGGGTTCAGCCATGGCAGGGAGCAGGGACAGGCTGTGGCTGCCTCGTGTGGACAGGCATGCCCAGCAGCCTTGCCCAGGTAGGCAGGGGCTTAAGCCTCGTCTATTTATTGCTGCCACCCAGTCGGGCCCCACACCTTCTAATCACCTCCTGCTGCTCTATTCCTGGCCCCTTGTGCAACCCTCCACAGCAGCACCACCAGACAGGTCCGTCCGCTCGCTGTGCCCGGACTCGAGCCAACAGGATCTGGCTGGCAGCCTGCCTGCCTCCTGCCCTGTGCCTGCAGCACCATACCCGCAGCTTGGCCCCCATGGTGCCCTGGTGTGCAGATCTCCAAGCAGGAGGCTGTGCCCCAGAGGCTCCCCTGCCCTGGGGCTTGCTCCCTGCCCAGCAGGAGCCCCAGGCAGCCCCAGCCAACAGGTCCTAGAGGAGGCCCTGGAAAACATGCCAGCCAGATGGTACACAACACCGCTTCCAGCAGTGCTGGCTGGTCCCTTCCTGGGCCAGGCAAGGTTGGGATGCTGCACGCCACCAGCATCCCCTGTTCCTGCTGTGGTAAGCTGGCCACCCCAGGGACAACACTGTCACCTGCTGCAGGGAGCCCTCACAGGACCCTTTTGCAGGGGGTCACAGCAAGCCCCAACCATGGCAGGAGCCAGCCAGGCAGACGCGCTGCTTAGCAGCGCCCCTCTGGCAGCAGAGGTGGGTAGGCAGAGGCCCCCTCCACCCGTGGCAGATCCTTGAGTACTGGGACCTGCTGGCCCAGAGCCGTGTCCCTGTACTGCAGGTGAGGGTAGCTGTAGCCTTGCTTCATCCTCCACCACCTGCTGAGCAGCTCCCATGGGCTGGTAGCACCATGAAAGCAATAGCGGGATCCAGCCTGGGCATCGAGGACAGCCCTGCTCTCCCAGGAAGGGACACACTGCAAGAACGCAGCAGCAGCTGCCAGGGG